AATGATAAGAATATAAAAATGATTTAAAAAAAAAAAAATATGAAAAGTATAGGAAATTTTTGAGTTTATTTAAATATTTTCAAAATAATTCTAATGTATTCTAATGTACTCTAATAAATATCAAAAGTAATATTTCTTTCCGAATCTATAATTATTCTATTATTCTGAATTTATCTAAATTATTAAATTTATTTATGGATTACATATGTAATGTACCTTTGATTAATTTGATTAATTAAAAATTTGAAATTATTTATCTTTATAAAGTAATATAATAAATAAATTTGATAATTTTCTCAGTATAATTTTTTTATATTAATTCACATTGAAAATAATCAATGCTATTTATAGATATCTAAATATTTATTTTACATTGATTTATTCAAGATTTTTAAGTAATCATAGATTTATTAAAATAAATAAAATATTGATGATTAAAATCATTATTGGCAAGTTAATAATTTTTAATCTTAAAAAAATAATTCGCAATTTTGCGAAAAATGATAATTAAAATTAAAGAATTAATTTATTTGTAGCCATAGGCTACATGTAGCCGTAACTAAGATCAAGTATAATATGATTATTAAAATAATTATTTTTATAAAAATAAAACCCATGATTAAGATTAGGGTTAGGGTGAGGCTTGGGATTTTATCTAGGTATTAGTATATGCAAAATTTAGTGAGGAATTTTTTTTGTTAGAGTATAGAAGATGGTTTCATAATCGAAATTTTGAGTTATTAGTGATTTCTTTAAAAAAACTAGTATTTGTTTTGATTTCACATTACACTTGATTCTAAAATTTGATTGGTTTTATTGGATGGCTACATGTAGCCGCGGCTATATATATATTTTTCCAAAATTAAAAAATATAACAAAATATTAAATAAGACTATAAAACTAAAACCTATTTAATATTAATAATTTCGAAATTATTTGAAATATATAAAATAAAAATATATTCACCTATCAAACTTTTTTCATTAACGTTTAATTACTGTATTTAGTATAGGTAATCAAAATAACTTAAAAATTAATCTGTATATAATAAAAATAATGAAGACTATTTAAAGTAAATTTCAATATATTTATGCACATAGTGCATTATATAATTGTTAAGAAAATTATTCTAGATTTTTATGTAATTGGGATTTTTAAAAGATTTTAATGTAATTTAAATTTAAGGAGTTAATTAGAATTTTAAATAATTTTGGATAATTAAAATTTTTATGAAACTTTCACATATAAGTCAGAATACTCGCAGCTTTTGTGTATTCTAATTTTAAATATATTAGAATAGTTTTTAATTATATTACTAAATTTCAAAAATGTTTAAAATTATTAAAACTATTTTAAAATATTTTTTTTTTTTTTTTATTATTATTAAATGATAATATCAAATAGGAGAAGAATTAGTACATTTATATATCAAGGTGAAATATATATGAAGCTAATGAGATTCCTATAATGCATTACTGTTACTCGAGCTTTGTAGAGATAGAGGCGCAGTTGGCGCTCTTTATTTACAATTAAATAGTAATTTATAGGGAATATTTTAAGTATTTACATAAAGTTTTTTTCTCTAATGATCTATTTGTTTTATATATTTTGTGAAGACTTTGAATTTCTTTAGAAATCCAGTTTTTAACGATTGTTAAAAGTGTAGAAATAGAAAAAGTAGTATTACCCCATTTAAATGAGGTATAGCAGCATCAAAATTCATAAATTGTTATAATGTGAAGCCAGTTCAGCACCTGCTTTTGAGAAGAGTTTTGTGCACTTGATCCTGAGAACATTTCTTTAAGAGTTGAAGAGTAGTTGATTAATTCATTAGTATTAAGAAATCCATATACTGTTTCCCAAATTTTTTTACTTAAGCTGCAGTCTATAGTAAAGTGTTCTAGTATTTGGGGTTTCTCAGTATACCAAGGGCAGAATTCTGCTTCTAGTGATTCTATATGTTTGAGTCTATAACCAAGAGGAAAGGACTTGTAGTAGAGATGCCAGTATATATCTTTTTTCTTGTTTATAATTGTTTTTGTAGATAGCCAATTTGATGCTAGTGGGTCTGGTATTGTATATTCTCGAGAGGATATAGATTCTATTTTTTGAAATATTCGCAAAACTTTGTTTACTATGATTTCATATCCTTTAAAATCACCTAGCCTAATTTTTTCTTTGTTCCAAGACCAGTTTGTACTAGCTAAGATTTTTCTTTCTGCTCTTTTCTAAGCTAAAAGAAAAGGTTTCCACTCTGTAGACCAAGCTTTGGACTAAATATTGTCAGTTGTTAGTGCTTATAAGGGTGAAATATCTCTTTTATCCCTGAGAATTGTACTAATTTTGTCTCTTTCGTACTTAGCCCAAAAGTGCTTAGATAAAAGTAGTTTAAGCCAGACTGTTATTAGCCATGCATCTAGCATGTCTTTAATTATAGAAGCCTGTAGACTCAGATATTCATATAGTTGTTGAAAAACTGAGTATCTCAGAAGTATACGAGAGTTGCTCTTGATCCATAAAGAAATTAGTCTATTTATTTCTGATACCTGCTTCCTGTTTGGTAGGAGAAGGTATGCTATATACTAGATTTTTGAGAGTATAAGAGATTTGGCAAGCAGAATTTTTCTTTTAAAAGATAAATTTCTATTTGCAAGTTTATTGAGTGAGGCCTTAAGATTATTTATAGTAGATGACCAAAGATCCTTTTTTAGAAGATCATTTGGGTAAATACTATAACCTAGTGTTGTAATAAGTTCATTCTCTTTAACTATATATAGTTGGTTTGACTGTGGTAATTTTACTCTAGATGCTATTGCTATAAGAGGAGCAAGTTTTGTTTTGGTTTTGTTAATTTTTGCATTAGAAGCCTGCTCGTAAGTTTCTAGAAGTTTAAAAGTATATTCCTAGTCTGAGAGAGAGCTAATTCCTATTGTAAGGTCATCTACATAGGCTATAAGTTTGAAAGACTGATGACCTAGTTTAATACCCTGTAGATTATTTTTTAAATTAAGTAGCAAAGGTTCGAAAGCAAGTATGTATAGGAGAGATGAGAGTGGATCTCCTTGTCTTACTCCTCTTTCTATTCTAAAAGCCTTTGATAGTTCCCCTGTTTCGAGAATATAGGTTTCTTGATTTGTAAAAGGTTTTTGACTATTGAGATAAACTTTTTATCAAAGTTTATTTTCTCTAATACTAGTTCTAGAAACTCATGATTTATATGATCGAATACTTTTTGTTAATCTAAGAATAGCATCCAATATTGTTTAGTATTGTCTTGTTGATTTCTTAGAGTTGTTATGATGTCCATTGCAGTATCTGATATTGATCTGTTTTTTACGAAGCTTTGTTGCTATGGAGAGATTACTTCTTGGCATATTGCATTTAGTCTATTTGCTAAAATTTTCATAAAAATTTTAGTATCGCTATTTACTAAAGAAATTGGTCTCCAATTGTTTAGATTTTCCAAGTCCAAAGATTTTTTTAGAATGAGTATAATTAGGTTTTTATACCATGATTTGGGTAAAAGGCCTAAAAGAAGTACTTGATTAAAACGGTTATGTAATAGAGAAGTGATTACTTTTTCTGTAAGCTTGTAAAACTCGTAAATAAGACCATCAGAGCCAGGAGACTTGTTATTCAGAAGGCTTCTGATCATATTCCTTATTTCTTCAAGAGAGATTTCTTGTATTAGCGAAGAGTTCTGTGATCCTGTAACTTGTGAAGCTTCTTTGATAATTTTATTTGCAGCAGCTAAGTTAATCTCTTGTTTTTTGTAAATTTTTGAGTATTCTTCTCTAATATAAGAGAGAGTACTATCTTTGTTTTGAGTTGTGTTCACAGGATTTTTGATTTTACTAAGTGCTGAGCAGGATTTTCTGGATCTATATTTTGAAAAGAAATATTTGGTTGATTTTTCTCCTTGCTCTATCCATTTTGTTTTGAAGTGGAGTTGCCATTTTTCTGCTAGAAGGGTAAGTTTTTTTTGCAATTTGGCGTTAAGATTGTCTGCTTGAGCAGAAAGATGTATATTTGCAGAGTTTTTAGCAAGTTTTTTGTTTATTTGAGTAATTTGTTTGTTAAGTATTAAAATTTTGCTTTCTAGAGGTTTTGGCTTTTTGAAAGCCTTAATGATTAATTGGATATATATTTTGTATAAATCCCAGTTGTCTGCATTCTCATTTTCTTGTATTTCTTCTATTATTTCTTTTTTTAGTCTCTAATTATGGAAGCAGTTTTTATCAAATTTCCACAAAGGAGACTTGTTTGTATTTGGTGTAAACTTTAATATACATTCTACTAGAAGGTGGTCAGAGTTACCAAATTTAGTATTGGTCTCATAAATAGAGTGAGCATAGTTTTCATCTATGAAAATATAGTCTAGGTGAGTTGCTATCATTCTGTTTCCTCTTGTTTTTTAAAAGAAAGTATAGAATGGCTTATTAGTCACAAGCTCTGAAGTGTCAATAAAGTTTTTTGTAAAGTCTTTAAGTTGAGCTCTAGTTGGATCATGCTGTGCTAAAAACTCACTGATTCTATCATATTCAGAGTATAAATTAGTATTAAAGTCTCCTGCGATAATATTTATTATATTATCTTTAACTTGAGGAGACCAGTTGTTGAAAAAAACAGATCATTCACTTTAACTAGGAGGTGCGTAGATATTTGTAAGCTGAAAAGATAAATCTTTGTAGCTGAAATTTGTAATCATAACTCTGCTATTTGCTTCTACTTTGGAGCTTTGAAAAGTTATATTCTTATTGCCTGCTAATATAGCTGTCTTGTTTGACTATATTGAGTCAAAAGTCCATTGTTGTTGTAAAAAGGTTTGTGTATCTTTGTTATTGAGATTTGTCTCTTGAAGTATTATAATATCTAGATTATAAGACTTAAGAAGAGTAAAAGTATTTCTTTGTTTCTGTTGATTGTTCAGTCCTTTAACATTTAGAGTTCCAATTTTTATCTTTAAGTTTTAAGCATAAGAGTTGATTTGAGATAAAGTTTTAGATCTGCATACTTTGGCTCTCATTACGAGTTTTTTTCTTGTAAAAAGCAGTTCTAGTTTCTTCTTGTTTTTGTGCAGATACTTTCTTTTTATCTTTTTTTCTTTTATTTGTAGCAGTTATGTATTCTTCTTCTGAATGGTTAAGTTCTTGCAGTTCATAGTTATTGTTATCGATAATAACTATGGAAGAAGTTACTTCTTGTGCTGTTTCTTTGTTAGAAGTAGAATTGCTTGTTAAGTCCACATTCTGAGTTTCCAAATTTTTTCTCTTGTTTGAATTTTCAGTATTTGGAATCATATCCTCTGTTCTTTTTAATACACTGCCATGAGTGCTATTATTTTCATTAGTCCTGGAAATGTCTTGTTGCTCTTCTGTAGTAGAGTTTTTAGGGTGTTTATCTATACACATTCCTTGAGTTGAGGATAAAGAAGCTGATATAGTTTCTTCAACCAATGGGTTAGAGATAAGTTCTGAGGTTTTTTCTTTGTTATTATTTCTTTGGTACTCCTTAAAATGACGATAGAGTGCTAAAGCTTCTTGATGTTGTTCGCAGTCTCTTTTGACATGACCTTCTCTGTCACAGAAGAAGCAGACTTTTGAAGCTGATTTCCATTCTGTAGTGATTTTGTTTTTTAACAAAATGTAAAAATGGGGGATTCTTTTTTCTAGGTCTGGATCATTTGTAGTATCAAAAATAATAATCTATTGGTCAGTTAGATAAGGGGTTCCTTCTATTAAAAGTGGTTTGATCGAGGCAATTTTCCCCACATCTTTGAAGGCCTCTTTGATAGCTTCAGAGACTAAGTTTTTTTCTTGTAAAGGAATATTTCTGATTTTGACTGGAAGGAAAGACCTTCTATTATCTGTAGGAATAGAGCCAAGATATGTTTTGTTAAAGATGTCTACTCCTTTAACTGCATACTCTTGTAGTTTTTTTTTGTTCGCAAAGATAATTTCTAAGTGAGTACGAGCTCCTCTGTTAATATGTAGTTTTGCTACTACTATATCACTTCCCATATTATCATAAAGAGATATCATAATATCATTTAAAGAGCAGTTTTTTAGGCTGTTAATATCTAGTACTAGGGCATTATCATTTTTGGATCTAATAGTGCTTCTCTGAAAATAAGAAGTAAAAGTAGATTGGCCCTTTTTAACCTTAG